CATTCTTATTAAACTTTCTCTTTGAAAAAATCACAATCTTTGTTTTTGATACATTGATGTGAGTTTCCACTCAAAACAATATTGCCCTAACACATTCAGAGCCTTTTGTAACCCTTCTGCCGACTCCTCAAAAATAATTGTGTCATCGGCGTACAGAAGAATAAATAACTTGATATACAAATCAAGATTCTCTGTAATTTTTTCATTTAAAAATTTTAGACCATCCACAGAGTTTTCATCCAGATATTCCTCCAAGTCATTCAGGTATAAGGCAAAGAGAAAGGGTGACATTTTTTCTGCCTGTCTTACACCTACCTCACACGGGAAAAAATCTGTTTTTAGTTCTCAATTTTTAACACAAGACTTAATATCTATTTACATGCTCAATATAACTTTAAACATTTTCCCACCAATGTTATATTTTAATAGTTTTTGCCATAGTCCCACCCTCCACACTGTGTCAAAAGCTTTTCTAAAATCTACAAAAGGTCAAAATAATTTCTTTCCCGAACTCAAATATAGTGAAATTAAAGCATGCATGACAAACATACTATCTTGGACAGAATACCCCTTTCGAAAACCACCTTGGGCATCAGTTATAATCCCGATCTCGTCTGACAGAGCATTAAGTCTTGAATTAAGTATAGAGGTGAACACTTTTCCTAAATTCGATGTAAGACAAATAGCTCGGTAATTATCCAAATTATTTGGATCCCCCTTGTTTTTAAATAACGGCTTTATGATACCAATAAGCCATGAATTTGGAACGATTCCAGAATCAAACACTAAATTGAAAAACTTAGTGTAAATAAGCAAAAATTGATTCACCGTGCTTTTTATATATTCGTTGACAATCTCATCTTCCCCTGGGGCTTTACCATTGCTTAATTTTTTAACAGCTGACAGTATTTCGTTCTCTGTAATTTCCTGATCTATAATTTCAATAACACCCTGACTTTTATACTATTAGCTAATTCCTCATAATCAATATTATCATCTGGAACATCGCTCTTTTTTAATGACTTAAAATACTCATATAATTGATCAATAGTAATTTGGATATATTTATCTGACCCCCTCTATCAAATCTTTTCAAAATTTTCCAAAATTTACCAGAATCTTTTTTCGAAAGTTTACGAATGTCAGATTCTAGTGCATGTTGAAAACTCTCAAAACTTTTATTCATTTCGGTTCTGTAGGCTTTCCCGGACTTTTTCATCTCATCTCGGTTCTCTTTATTTTTATTAAAACTGTAACGATTTTTCGCTTTATTAAAAACATTTCGCTTATCCCTGCACTTTTTATTAAACCAGAGTTGGTTAGAAGATCCAGATGGATAGAATCTTCCCTTTGGTTTAAATACACGATTCGCGGTGCTTTTAAAAATATCACCTATTTTGTCAACGACTGTATTGATTCGTTCTTTTGGATCATTACTGTCCTCCGACAAAAACAGTTATATCTCGTCTAATTTTGTAACGTCACTGACGAGTGTCTCAATAAACCGGTTTTCCTCGTCTGGGACCCATCGTGCATGTACTGCATACACTTGTTCGCATTTATTTGCATGAAAAACAAAAATCATTAGTTACGTGAATGATTATGAATATTCAATCAGCATTAACATTCTAAGTCATTCCAATCATCCTCGATTCCTGTCAAGTAAGCTTGAAATTGTTCGTCTGATTTTAAAAGTTAAAAAAAAGTCTGACAAAGAACCAAACGACGCTTCTTTTTTTTTCTTTCAAAAAGACTAATCTACAAGATCTTTAATCTGTCAGCCTTTCAGTTCAGCATGTTTTTTTTTTGTGGACAAAGCAATTGAAAGAGTGTACTATGTTAGCTTTTCTACAAACAATTCAAAAAGAAAACATAGAATTGAAAACAAACGGTGAATGACGCAAAATGCTGACTAATTTAATCCGATAAGTAGATCAAAATGAAATAGAAAAAGAAGAAACAATTAAAACGACAGGACTGCACATTGATGGCATATGGAGGTGGTTTGGCTTCAGGGGGAAAACACTTTATTTGATAATATATAGCCATATAATTTTTTAACGCGTCTGGCGTATTAAATTATAAGCCAGGTACCTTTGATAACTATTTTTAATTTTATTTCTGGAATTGTGCATTAGAAGGGAATAGGTTTTAGTTTTCTTGTTTTGATTGTTTTACATACTTATGTCATTTCGGGACCCTTTATAGATAACTATAAGGTATAAATGTTGCTCATTGTTGAAGTCCGTACGCAGACCTAAACATTTTGTAGTTTTAATCCTCTAAGTCATTTGGTATCTGGTGGAAAATTGTCTTATTGGAAATCATACCATATCTTATTTTTAAATTATTCTTTGTTTTATGATTTTTTGACTTTTCAAAAAACAAGAACAAATAAACACAAATAAACGATGTACAATCCAAAAGTCATGCTATAAAGAAACAAAGATAAATAGATAAATAAGACTTGTTCTTTTCATAACTTATGTTGTTTCATTTATTTGCGCAACGAAAACATTGAACCATACCAGTTTCATTACTTTCAATGGAATCCAAATTCACACCTAGGTTTTTGAACAGACTTATAGCAGAATACCGTGTTTCCGTTGAACACGTTATTGGCGAAGTGAAATGGAATAAGGAGGCATCTTCGTCACAAACTCAAAGCCATTGTTGAAGTTTTGAAAATCGCAAAAAACAACTTTTGAATTAGCATAAAACTATAAAAGCACAATGTTTACAATATTTTTATCGTTTTTAAATAGCTCCCGTCATTTAAACTGTCTTACTATTACTCGTAGTCGGACTTGGGTCGGAATTAAACAGTTATTGTAATAGTAGAGATTTACAAAAACTACCCGAATTCGAGTCCGAGTACGACTACAAATCATAGAGGTAAGCTATAGGGGTGATCTCAAAATAATGTGTTCACTAATTAATTTTACCGTCTTAAATCTTTGAGTTGTAATATGATAGGACAAAACCATTCATCAATTTATTTTTTGTCCTGAAGGGTTGCAGTAAACGCTTTTTAGTTATTCTCTCTTTATAACAGTTTATTTTTCAAAATCTAATACCTTCAGAACAATCTTGTGCTCGTGATATCTGATCGCTTCTATATGATCTCTATTCAATTTTATGAATTATTTGAAGGGAATTGAATATTACGATTGCTCATTTTTTTTAAACAATACTTTTTCCCATCGTATAAAATCTTGGAGGATAGGATAACTATTTCAATTGCATGATTGCAAATTATTTAAAATCGTTTTTGATCAGAAATTTTTTTTTTTTATAGCTGCGAGTGAATTTCAATGCATTTTCCTTGTTATCTTTATTGTATGTGATAATATATAGCCATATTAATTTTTTTTTAATTTTATTTTTGGAACTGTGCGTTTAAAGGGAATATATTTTAAATTTCTCGTTTCGGTTGTTTTACATATGTCATTTTGGGACCTTTTATAGCTGACTATAGCTGAATTGCTCATTGTTGAAGTCCGTACGCAGACCCATACATTTTGTAGTTTTTTAAGTCAGCTGGTATTTGATGGAAAGTTGTCTTATTGGATTTCATAACATATCGTATTTTTAACTTATTCTTTGTTTTATGATTGTTTGACTTTTCGTATTTTGTTCTTCCTAAAAGCAAGAACAACTAAATCACACAAACGATGTACAATCCAAAATTCATTCGTGAAAGAAGCAAAGATAAATAAATAATTAAGACTTTTTGTTTTCATAAATTATGTTGTTTTACTTATTTGCGCAACGACAACCATATCAGTTTCATCATCTAAATTCACATCTAGGCTTTAGAACAGATGTATAAAAAATACCGAGTTTCCGTTGAACACGTTTTATAAGTCGACGAAAAAAAAAGTATAAAATTACAAAACCACAATGTTTACAATATTTTTATTTTTTCAAGATAGCCCCCGTCATTTAAACTGTCTTACTATGAATCGTAGTCGGACTCAGGTTGGAGTCAGACAATTATTGTAAATCTCTACTACTACTACTACTACTACTACTACTGATATTACTACTACTACTGCCACTACTACTACTACTACTATTACTACTACTACTATTTCTTCTACTACTACTACTACTACTACTACTACTACTACTACTACTACTACTACTACTACTACTTCTTGCACTCCTTCTATAAATAATGATAATAATTATAAAGATAAAATATTTTTTTCAATTTATTTTGTATATAGTTCGTGCAGAAAACAAATAAAACAGATTCTTAAAACATCATTAAGTTTAAAACGTTGTCCTCAATTATGACAACTTGTATTTATAGTTTTTAAAGCGCGAGGTTTGGCTAGCCACAACACCAGATTCAACCCACCAATTTTTCTTAAAATGTCCTGTACCAAGTCAAGAAAATGACAGTTTTTATCTAATAGTTCGTTTCTATGTATGTTGAAATGTCGTTTGTTTTTTGTTGCACTTCATTTTTTCTGTTGTTTCGTTGTTTTCCTCTTATAGTTGATGTGTTTTCCTAGGTTTTAGTTTGTTACCTGGATTTGTTTTCTCACAATCGATTTTATTACTTTTGAACAGCGATATACTACTGCTGCTTTTATCTAGATACGTTTGAATTAAAAGATTACAATAATTTAGTGGATTTTGAGTAAAAGGAAAACAATGAGATAATAAGTCTCGACAAGCTTATAATGTATATGTTGTACAAGAACTGGACATTTTCTCGTCAATAATGTGCAGCGTTAATTGATATGTTTTAATAGGTATGTCTGAAAAATGGTTCCAGTTAGTGTCTCAAATTCAATGTACTTGTTTCTTTATGCAAATAAAGATTCTTCATTGCATATAATTTACACTATTCTGCCATTATAATATAACAGATTCAATTTAGTGTGAATGTAATATGACCAGACAGTGTAACTTTTTTGGTATAAGATACAAGATAAATATAGTTAACGAATCTATTTAATGTCAATAACTTTTTTATTTCTATATAGATTTGCATATCCTTCAAAGATTATAACATTGCAGACAATTGTCAAGACAAGTTCATATCCATCAGGAATAGCTGTTGATTCAGCAACTGATCATATCTACTGGACTGAATCTCATGGTAAACTCTCAAAATGCAATCTAGTTGGAATTAATGTAGCAACTGTTGTATCTTCACTAAAAAATCCTTGGGTGATACGACTTGATATTACAAACAGGTATGCTGTTTTACCGAGAACTGAATATTTGTGTTAACTGAACAATACACTTGTGTTTCTTTTCTGGCAACATCAAGAAAGAAATGCCATTTCATATAATTTATAAATATGCGAATAGTTATTTATACATTGTTCGTGTTGTTTTATATAACCATTTACAAACACTTTAGACCAACAGTTTTAATTTCTTTTGTAAATTTATCATTGACAAGTGTTACGAATATTTTGTCCCTTATGGATTCTTCTGCACATTTTTCACATGTAGTGAATGCTTCATTCGCGTTATTTACAAAACCTAAACTATTTTTTTCTAAAAGGATACACATTTGTTGATTTGCAAAGGTCAAAAGATGACACGATTTTATGTTCGATTAAAAGACGACAAAAAGACATAATTGGCAGTGGGAAGTATAGACCAAATAAGACTAATTTATATTAAACAAACAATGTTATTACACGTTTAGATGTGTACGAACTAAATACATTATAATATTTTACCTAAATACTTTTTTTTTGTATAAAATTAGGGGTATAAATCACATACTGTTTTAATTATCTTCAGTCATTTGGTTATAACTAAACCGAATTCGATAAATAATATCCAGAAAAGCCAAAGGCGTTGCAATGTTTAATATAAACCAGTAGGCTAGTTTAAAACAAAGTATAAGTACGTCACGTGATGCGCTTTGAACGTTCAAATCTGTTTGCTTCTTTTGGTGTACACATATTGATGGCATATCTAGGGCGAATATAAACATTATTTATTGTTTTACAAGCAATTGATACAACTCATAAACTTAAGGTAGTTTTACTACATGTTACTATGAACAACGGTTGTTTGTGGATTATAGTCACATGTTATTTCCAACTGGTATTACTCTGAAAATTTAGACCAAGGGATATCCGTTTACCTCTTTTATTTTGATCTCACTCAATCTTAAAACAAAATACGTAAGCTGATGTATCTTCGGTCTAATCAAACTGTTTTTTTCTTCTTTTACATGTGACAGACCATTTTTCAGACCATATTTTTGGTCCTCCAAATAGCATCAGGAGGTAATCTGATCATTGCATATTTTATTCATATATAACATGATGTTAAATTGTTTAAATAAGAAAGATCATCTTATAAAATACGAATATTTTGTTTATTTACACACAAAATATAATCTGAGGTTTAACCAAGAGGAGCTAAAACAGTTGCAATTAATTTTAATAATAGACATTGAACAAGCTGTCAGAACCAGTGAATACTATTTAAAAGGTTTTTTGTGTATTCAATTTTGAGTTAACTCTTTTTTATTTGTGTTGTGTTTCTCTGATTAGTTTATGCTCACATTTGTTCTTATGTTGCTATGAAACATTAATCAACAAAACATATGTATATACAATATATTTGAACAATTTGAACTGAAGTCTTAGGCAAAATTTCTATTCTGATGGAAATATGCGTAGCGTTAAACCAACAAGATCACAAGCATATCTGTAAACATCCAGACGACCTGATCTAAACAAATATTATTACAAATGTGTTTTGTGTTATTGATCAAAATCAAGATCAATCATCATATCAGTCATTTGAGGAACAATGTTTAAAAGTGATTTTCAAATTCTACTCTCATAAATCAACAACTGTCCTTTGTAAGTACATTGGAAGATTTTGTTTGTATTATGCGTTTTGTAGCAGATAGATCATTCAACAAGGCCGTCAGAGCCAATATGTGAATCTGATTGGTTGAAATTTTATCAAAGAATTTAACGATGATTGTTTTTATGTTGTCACACTTTGATTTGTCTTTCAGGTGGATGTATATAGTTGAACATTATATAGGAATATTGAAGTCTACTTTCGATTTATCTGAAAAGCGGACGATCGTTAACTTCACATCAACACCTGTTTATTGCATGGATTTAGGTAGGAGGTCATTGTAAAAATGTTGCCTAAAATGTGACAGCTGGCATTTATCTTCATTTTAAGATTTGATATTTATATTCAGATTTTTGTAAAATTATGTTAATGTTAATGTGGACATTGTGTCATGGATGAATAAACCATATCCTATGGCTTTCTATTATTATATGTACCATCAATGAAAGTGTAAGCCATCTAACTAATTTGTACAACAAAAGGAATTATTAGAAAAGATATATCAGGACATTATAAATGTTCTCAGGAAAAACTTTGCAGTCTATCTGTCATCACTGTTATGGGTCATATTCAAATAAGAAGTTTAGTAACATAACCATAGAAGCAAAATAATGTCTGAACAATTCGATCTCATTGCTTATTACTGGTGCTTTCATCGAAACACATTAAAAACTTCTTTCACAGGTTGAACACTTTTTTTATAACTCACGGATAATATTTTAATTATCTTCAACTTCGTACTTTATTTGGCCTTTAAAACTTTTTTGATTCGAGCGTCACTAGTGAGTCTTTTGTAGACGAAACGCGCGTCTAGCGTAAATACAAAGTTTTAATCCTGGTATCTATGATGCGTTTATTAATATAAAAATATCTAAGCTTTAAAAAAACTATGAAACTTTAGCATGTTTAGGTTAATTTAACCTTATGGTACGAATTGAAAAAAAAAATAAAACGATACAATTCGAAAGAAACTATCAATATTGTGAAATAAGATCTTCTCAGAAAAAAATTCAAATGTATATACATTTAAATATTTTAAGGTTATAAGTATATGTTATTTGGATATGATACTTCATGGTCCTTTCTTAAGTTCAAACTGCAAGCCAAAGACTTTGTTCATAAAATTGAGAATGGAAATGGGGAATATTTCAAAGAGACAACTACCCGACCAAAGAGCAGAAAACAGCCGAAGGCCACCAATTGGTCTTCAACACAGCGAGATAATCCCGCTCCCGGAGGAGGCACTGGTCCCTAAATAAAAATGTGTACTAGTTTAGTACAAATGGACGACATACTAAACTCCAAAAAATATGAATAAACTTAAATAAAAAACAAACGCACAAGACTAACAAAGACCTAATGCTCGTGTCTTGCGACAAGCGGAAAAATGCGGCGTAGTTAAACATGTTTTGTGAGATCTCAACGCTCTCCCTATACCTATAGCCAATGTAGAATACACAAACACAAAGCACTACACACAGTGAAACTCAGTTTAAAAGAATTCCGAGTCGAATGTCATAATAGGTAACAGAAGAAACATAGCAAAATGACAATAATACATACATGAACAAAGGAATACTAGCAGTTACTGACATGCCAACTCCATACTTAAATAAAACTGATTGGAAAATTCTGTCTTCATCTTGTGAAAATCGAGCACAACACCATCATTAAATATATGATAAGAACATAACCCGTATCACGCCAACAACTGGTTTCAGAACAAATGTGTTTTTGTTCGATGCAAAGACCATAAGAGTGAATGCCGAAATGTGTGTGCTTTGTAAAGAATATTGCTATTAAATATTGGATGTGAAATACCTGAACGTATAAAATGACTGCATGTTAATGTCCTTGTACCGATGATTTAATTTAGTAAATGTTTTGACTAGTTTCTGAATCGAAAACCCTGGTGCAATAATTGTTCAGTCATACAGAGATTTATTTTGTTAAGATCAAATACTTTGTTACATACACGAGTAAATCGAACTAGTTCAGATATATACACGCCATAAGATGGTAACAGGGGAACGTCACCATCGAAAAATGGATAACTAACAATAGGAAAGGAAAAGTCATATATTTTATCATTAAGTTTGGTATCATTTGTCCCGTTAAAGATAAAGATATCAAGATCCAGAAAAGGGCAGTTTCTTTAAAGTTAGTTTCAGCAGGATACATATCTATAGTGTACATAATGAAGTCGTCATTATTGAGAGCCAATATAGCATCCAATTATATAAAAGTGTTATTAAATTTGTGTTTCAGATATTGTTTCGGTGGGTCTTTGCTGATTTTAGTCATAAATCGTAACTCATAACAATACAGAAACAGGTCCGCAATAAGTGGTGCACAGTTAGTCCCCATTGAAATTCTGATAATTTTACGATATACGGAATCAACATAGCGAACAAAAATGATATCTAGTAAAAATTCAAGGGCAGATATAGTATTAAGGCGAGTTCACTTGACATAGTTCTTTTGTTTGTTGTTACTAAAGATGACTTAAAAGAGTTTGAACATATCTATTTTGACTTCTGACTTTTTAAAACCATTAAATTAGGTGTGTGATTTTTTTCTTTATACGATAATGACATAAAGTTGTATCTAGGGTAAACACATCTAAATTTGGAAAAGATTCGAAATCACCAATATTTGCATGAAATCTATCAATTATTTCCAAATAATTTTTGACACTCCATAAGTAATTAGTTCTACTATTTTCAAAGGCTTTATTTGAACAATTTATTACCAGGATTTTTGTTTATTGTACTCAGTGTACATGTACTTGTAAGTAAAATAGACATTGTAGAAGTGGCAGACTTGAGACGAAATATATTTATATGTGTAAGGTGTTTTGCGCAGCTTCAGAAGCGAGTACATAGTTTAAACTGTCAATGTATTTTGTTCTGCTTGTAAAGAGGCAGCTAAAAGTTGTTGTTTGTTACAGATGGAATTTTTTGAATATAGAGTCAGTTGGAATGTTGGTGAACTCGTTATTTCCTTTTTGCAGAACAGTGTTTGATCTAATGTCAATTTAGCTGGTAACATAATTGTTTGACAATTGGACGAGTTCTTAAATTATTATATTTATTGATCATATGCATAAAGTTAAGTAATCCATGAATCAAGTAGGTTAAATGTTTGAACTGCATTATAATCTTATTTTTAAACGAACGAACGTTGCATAGTTTAGTAGAATGAAATTTGAAAATATAATTACGTTAGTATCATAATCCTAGATAAAACAAATACTTTATATACAGAGTAGCCTTTTTAAAGTTTTGTGTTAAAGTTAAAATGGAGTAACAGGCATTTAGATATTAAAACATTGTTTAACAAATTTCTTTAAATCTATGTAACTTCATGCGTGCCTTTTTATATGACACATGGAGATGTGTTGGCAAGTGTGTTCCCAATTTATAATTCTTGACAGTTACTGAAAACAATATCATATTGATATACGATCATAATAATGAACTCATTTCGGAGCCTTTTACAGCTGACTATGCGGTATGGGCTTTGCTCGTTGTTGAAGGCCGTACGGTGACCTATATTTGTTAATTTCTATGTCATTTGGTCTCTTGTGGAGAGTTGTCTCATTGGCAATCATTCCACATCTTCTTTTTTATATTTGTGGATATGTCCTCATCGTCATTTGACATACTTTCTGCAGATATTTTGTCATAGTGTTTAAAACATTTTTTGTTCACGGCCTAGTGTTCAGAACATTCGAAGTTCTGAGCAAATATTTTTTACCTACACGTTGGTGGAACATAAAGTGATAGAATTTGTAAACATTTATGACATTAAATTACTTCGTCGTTAATCTAGGCGAATCAATCGTGACGTTAACACCATATTTATAAATAAAATAACTGAACTACATTTATATATTATTGTTGTAAGAATGAATTTTAATTTATCCACCACTTGTTTCAACATATTGTAGACACTGAAGAAAACAGACTGTATTGGATTAATCACGATGGTGACATGAAATCATGTAAAGACGATGGCTCTGATGTTAAAACAATACTTTCAACAAACATAAGTAGAAGCTACTTAGCTATCAGTGTCGTCGGTAGTAACATATATTATGCAAATGACAATCAGTTGGTAATGGTAACTAAAACACCAGGATCCACGCCGACTATTCTGTATAACGATACCAACAGGATTGACAGTATAGTTATGTTCAATTTATCAGGTATGTATATAACCATCTATAATCACGTACATGTTCACAATAACTGAAAAATGGTCGTTTGCGTTAGAAAATAGAGTTAATGTTGATTTTACAGTGCACAATCTGATTAACGTTAAATGTTCATATATCGTTTGTCTCCATATTTTAAAGAGTAACACTACATCTGCTAGTTTTTTGTATCTGTATTTTAATGCACCTAACATGTGAAGTACAGCACGAACGATACATTGTTTTGATGATGTTTTGATAAAATGGAATAAACGTCTATGAAAGCAACCAAGCATTACATAAGAAATATAATGATATTTGAAAGAACCAATCCGTTTTCACTCAGTTGGGAATTGTCATAAGTAGATCACTACTACTTAGAAGTCAATCTTGCTAACATTGTAAACTATTACTATTTCATAGGTTTAAAGGCATTTTGTTATTGTTTTACATGTTTATATCGTTTATTTCGAATTGCTTATTGCTTTCTAATTTCTATATACAGCTTTTACTTAGTATTTACATTTCTTATTATTCTGGTTAACTAACTAAATGTACATTTGTAGTTTCTTCTTAACGTTGGCTTCAATGCGTTCCATGTAAATTGCTTATTCAATGTTTTTATCATATAAGTTAAAGGTACATTTGTATTCTATAACTTTTGCATTGTCTTGACTGATAAAAAGTATTAATATTGATGTTTTGTTGTTAATTGAAATAACTGAATTTAATTTCTTCCATCTCGTTCATCTATTTACAATTGTTGATAATTTCATGGAAACAGGTTATTTGTCTGTTATTGTTCAAGTCTGCATTTTTTATGAATGAAATTGTGCGAAACAAACAAAAGGTAAGTAATTTAAACCTAATTTTTAAATCTTAGTCAAATCAATATACTTCTTTTCCCTGTTAGTATTATAATACAAAAATGTGGTAGCATTGGCAACAAAGACAATTCTTAGCATCTGTTTTAATTGAATAGCATTACGTTTTTAATGTTAAACAAAGAAACATTCTTCTTTGCACTATCAGTATCAAAATGAAATATTGGATAATTCTCAACCGAGAC